TCTCCAACAATCTGGTCTATCCGGTGCTAATATTCACTGATCATGCTTTGCCTGTCCTCGCCAGGGTATGAACTACCTGGAGGAGCGACACCTGGTGCACCGTGACCTGGCCGCGAGGAATGTCTTGGTGAAGACCCCCCAGCACGTGAAGATCACCGACTTTGGGCTGGCCAAGCTCCTCAGCGCCGACGAGAAGGAATATCACGCCGATGGAGGAAAGGTAACAGCAACGTTCTCAGAAAAAAACAAGAAATACAGAATGTATCACAGAAGTGTAGAGTGGCGCAATTAAAATTAAATTTCTAAAGAGTAGTACTACACTATTGTAGTAGTAAAACTGTAATTTTAAGAAAACACAAGTCACAGCTTTAACTAGGAGTATTCAGCAGACTGCCAAAACAAGGCACCAAGTGTTCTTATTTATTTTATGCATTTATTAATACATTGGGCATTTAGTTAACTTTTTAACTGGCAGACAGAAGTGGCACTGAGCGAAGTATCTCTGAAACTGTTGTGGATTTTATTTTTATTTGAAAAGTTCTAGTTTGTTACTATTCTATTAATGAAATGGGACCCTTCTGTTACTGTGAAATACTTAACAGACCTTAGAAGAAAGCTGGAATTTCTGCTATGAATGTATCTATATGAAATACCAGAAAACAAAATGTTTTTATATTGTTTATCACTAATATACAGTAAATGGTTTTATTTAATGCAATTTATTTTCTCAACTAATTTTAGTTTGTGTTGCTCTGTAGTAAACCAATGCTTCACTCTTTCTTTAAAAACTGTATGGAATTCTTTGACAGTCTCAAACACTATTGTGTTCTGTTTTCATTAAAAGGTTTTTTTTCCCATACAGTTAATAATTGTAGAAAGATTCTGTAGATGCAATCATTTGTTACTACTTTCATGCAAGAAAAACAAAATGACTAGTGATGAAGGACTGCTATACATTTCACTAAATCTTGCCTTGGTAGGTGCCAATCAAGTGGATGGCCTTGGAGTCAATTCTGCACAGAATCTACACACATCAGAGTGACGTCTGGAGTTATGGTAGGTCAAAGGCCATATGGTGCAGACAGGCTGAAATTATACTAAACTGGTGTAGTGTGGGATTCAGAGGGATCGTGTTGTATCAGGGATCCAAACGAAGTGATTCAGGGCATTTTTTCTATTCACAAGGCCTGGCTGACAGGTGGAAAGTACATCTCCGGTTAGCTCTTACAGACTACAAAGAACAGTCAACACCTGCGATTCATAAAATACCCTGCTGTCAAGTCTTGACTCACACACATTGGGAGCAGTCAAGTGACTTTGGAGATGCAGGCCTCGTGGCTCAGCCTCTGCTGTTCCTTGCAATAAAACACTAGCTCTCTGAGATGAGTGGATCACATTTCTCCGCTGCCTGCAGATGACCAGGCTGTGGCTAAGGCAGAAAGTCTCTGTTTTATTCATTTTTCAGACAAGCCATTGCACCTATTTCTTAACAGGAACCATGAAAGTCTAGTCCAGGAACCTGTATGTCTGTGGATTTCATGTGTATTCTTTATTAAATGGCTTTCAACACAGTTGCCAGCTGGAATATTGCCAGAGAAAAACTTAAAAAGATGTACAGTATATGTAAAGTGTAGTTACTAATTAAGCATTTAAGAATTTAAGATAATTCACTGGCAAGCTCCAAAAGCTGTGTGTTTTTTCTAACAAATACACTACTGTAAGTTAGTGCATGTGGAAAATGAAGGTAAGCTTAAATTTGACCTACTAAAAGCTTCAGCAAACCCAAGAACTGACGCTAAAGAGGCCCTGGAGAGGATACTGGATAAAATATGCAGTTACTGCTTTTTTTAAAATTCATTCCCATGAGCTCAGTAATATCCGCAGGAACTTGTATAGTTAACCACAGAGGAGCTGTAATATAGTTTCATTTTACAGCGCAGAGGCCTTGTCCTAAGTCAGACCTGAACAGACAGCACTCCTGGACACCCTTTGTACCTACTGAGGGAGTGTATATTTAGTAACTATTCATAATTTTTTATCATGCAAAGCAACGAAAGAAGAGAATACCATCAATATTAAAAAATCACTAAAACATTACATCATAACCTACTGTAACCCCACCTAAAATACCAACAGTAATTTCAAAGAAAACTACATCTCTTGACATGGGCTTTTTGTTTGCTGGTGGTTTCTTCTGTATAGTCTGTGGAAAGACACCACTTTAACAGATTTTTGGCAAGAGTTTTGATTATAATCTGGGGAAAAGTCATGTTACACTTCAGTGTTTTTAAAGGAAGAGTTTCCAAGGCTACAGATCAGAAAAAAGGTTTATATTTCAGATTGTCAGATAACTTTTCCTGACCAAGTTCAGAAAGTCTGAGCAAATAAAAATACAACCTGGAACCTGAAACACCGGGGCTGTTTAGAGACTATTTTAGGAATTAAAATTCAAGCAGCTCAATTAGTTACGATTTCAACTGATAACTAGTCAGTAGCTTCTGAGTAGAGAACAATTAGAGAAAGTGATTTTAAAATGTATTTTACAGTTCAATGTCATTTTCTTTTAAATAGTAACACTAATCCTTTTACTCTGAAAATGACTCATTCACTACTCACCCTGCCTGAATAGCAGCAGGTCCACAGATACTGTGACCGTGTGATTTGTATTCATCTTATTCACAGTGCAGTTGCTGCGAAACCATCATGTGTCATTCGAGATGATTCCACGGGCTATATGTGGTTTTTTTTATTGATTAACCAGCCTCATCACGATGTTAAGAGTTTGGTATGTTTGACTGTGGAATGGTACTCTGTGAGGTGGTTGGTCCAGTTCACCTTATTCCAGGTTCTTCTGCTTAGGTGTGACAGTTTGGGAGTTAATGACCTTTGGGTCAAAGCCTTACGATGGAATTCCAGCCAGTGAGATTGCAGGGATCCTAGAGAAAGGCGAACGCCTGCCCCAGCCTCCCATCTGTACCATTGACGTCTACATGATCATGGTGAAGTGTAAGTGTTGTATCTGCGTTGTGCATTCTGAACCCCTTCCCCCACAAACCCAAAAGAATTAACCAGCATCACAAAAACAATAAATGAAACATCTCTACTGTTTTAAAATGTATTTATTTAGAACTCACCAACTTTGCCTCCCGTGTGAGTACTTTTATTGTACATATAGTACTTTTTTTTAAGACAACAGAGATAAAGATGTGCAACAGGTCTGTCTCTCCTGAAGTGGCTCATTTAATCAACTTGTACACCACATGTGAAGTTGTTTACATGTAATAGAGGCCTGAACGACCTCTAGTGGCAGGTCAGCTGAAACTGCTAGGCTGATTACTGCTGGCCTATCACAATAAGTAACCTTGGAATTTAGAGAATGTGGGTTCGGCAATTGTTTTTCCTCTTTCTATCCATCCATCTATAATCATCTGTAAGTCCTGGGAAGGGTTGTGGCAGCCCTGTAGGCATCCAAAGCGAAGGACACAAGGCAGGACTGAGAGCATAACACTGACTTTCCAGATTGGCCCTTTATGAGCATAAAGTGGAAGTTCTATGCTTGTACATTTTCCTCTGATATACATAACTGTCAGATCCATCTCCTATCTTTCTCACTGTGAATCCCACAGATTATACAGAGGTAGTGCCAAATGAGAAAATAATGCACCGAGGAATTATTACAGTTTCCACTGAACCTTAGCTAGTTGAACCATTCAGCTTTAAGACTCAGTTTATTGACTATTTGGAGTTAATTAGTCTTGAACTCATTTTCCTGTTGTCTTTACCATGAAGCATGGTTTCCATATTTGTTCTTATGTATATCACTCAGGCTGGATGATCGATGCAGATAGCAGACCCAGATTCCGAGAGCTTATTGCAGAGTTTTCAAAAATGGCTCGGGATCCCCCCCGCTATCTTGTCATACAGGTAAAAAGAGCTAAAGTATACATCTTTTGCCATGTAGAGTTTATTTTAGGGAACCAGCATTGAATCTCTTATCTTGTAATTTCATGAGTATTTGTGTGTTTAAAGCTCACTGCATCTGTGCTTTGAGATTTTTGTTTTTCATTTTGCAGGATTCCTTTTGTTTATATATAGTATTCCATTTCTTCTCCTTAGGATCAATATTTCTCAGTGTCTGTGAAATTAGCCTAGATGACCACTTTGCCCTGTCAGAACTCAGATTAGTACCACAAAGCTCATTTTCTTTCTACTTTAAGTTACCAACTTTTTCAGAAACACAATTATGAATACAAAACAAAGACACATGCAAAAAAGAGAGCTCACACCCTAAATGAAAAGTTGGCTAGATACATTTTTAAGAAAACACATCTGACCATGTTGTTACTATTTGGCTTAACTCTTCTTTGTGTGTGGCAAAAACCTACAGTGTGAGAACCTGCCATATTACAAGATTTTATTAAAGATTTCCCTAGGATCTGAGACACACAGTACATTATATCTCCCGATCCAGCAGTTGTGCTTAGTGTTATGGTATTTCAAATCACAATGAAGTGGAAAATAGACTCTTTGTAATTTTTTCTACAGTATGTGTACCACTTCTTAGTGAATCTCAAAGATTGTCAAAGTTAATGTACAGGTGTTTTTTTTCTTTCCGATTAAGTTGTTCTGTTGTTTCACAGGGTGATGAACGCATGCATTTGCCAAGCCCCACTGATTCCAAGTTCTATCGCACCTTGATTGATGGAGATGAAATGGATGATGTTGTGGATGCAGATGAGTATCTCGTTCCCTACAACGGCTTCTTCAACAGCCCCAGCACGTCTCGGATGCAGCTCTTACACTCTATGGTAAAGCCATCTCAAAGTCATCTGAGGGTCTTGCGGTGCCGGGAGTGGAAAATGGAAGATGTGTCAGTTTTGCTCCCAACATATTCTAATATGGATCTGTGTGACACTTACTTTCTCTGTACTACAGCTGTGGGCACATTTTTGACACATTTATTGGGTCATGGGCTGAGCGCTTCATTGCAATTGTGTCTACAAATACGATGTTATGTAGGTTAGTTTAACACACATCTTCTCGTTGATTATCAGAATTATGTTCTGCAGCAGTGCATTTTTCATCTCTTGCTAAGGATGTATACATTTTGGCATTAGAAAGGACAGAATAATTCAAAACTTTATCTGTGTTTTTGTACATTGTGTGCTGGGCCTTAAGGCAACATCGGATAAGTGTTGTCTGGGTAATGACTGCGGGAGATGTTGTACTTTTTTGGCCCAGTCCACTTGGCTGGAGAACAACTTCCTTGTCAAGGATATGAGCCTGATCAAAGACCCACTGGGACAGAAGAAATCAAGGGAAATTGAATGCATAGGCGGATATGTGGGAGGGAAAGGGAAAGTCAGTTAAATTTCAAACACAGCTGAAATGGGAATGCATGTACCTGGCAGCCAAATAGAGCAAGTGAGATGGCTGTGGGTGGTTAAATCCTCTTCCTGAGGTTTCATAGCTACAAACATCAGGTACTGACTACCAGGTCTACACTGTTCACCAAAAGCACTCAGACTGTTATCCGTATAATCCTGCTTTGTATGTAAGGCTCTTCATGGAGCAGTTTCCTTCTAATGGTATGGCATATTGCCACCTAGTAAATGTAATTTTAGAACACTGTGATGAGATGCAGAGATTTTAGCAATATTATTCTTAAAGGTTCAAAATTATTCAACCCTTTTCTGAAAATTAATTTAGTCGGTCATGCTTTTGTGCTTTCACGTCATTTTTCTTAATGCAGTATGTACTGTACTGTAAAATGCCAACAGCATACATAAAGTGCCTAATACCTTTTATACTGTGAAAGACTTGCCAATCACTAACAGCTGATCCTCAACACACAATAAGCAAACGAATCATCTTTCCCTCTGCCTATCTAGAAATGTAGTTTCCTCCTGGAAGCAGGGCGGAGGAATCTTCTAATTTTAGAAGGCAGGGATATAGTGGACAGGGGCTTCCCAAAACACAAAGCTTGAAATATACTGTCTACAATCTAGTTCTGTATGCTGTCACAAAAAGTTCAAAAGATTGTAGGTTGTCCTTTTTGAGTAATAGTATTCAAGTACTTTTTAATTGAGCGAGGTTTTAAAATGATACAACTGGAAACCCATTAAACCCATAAAGGATAACAGTGTGGGAAGGGAGTGTGAAATGTTTATCAGTGGTTTTGCACCAGTATGTGATCTTGTTATTTAGTTAATTCAAAGGATATAATTTGAATTTCATTATTGAATTACAGAGCCTTAACAGCAGCATGGGATCTTGCACGATCAGAAATGGGGTAAGTGGAATTGAAAGAGCTAGTACTGGGCTCCTGTGAGAAATAACATTAGTCTTTTTTTAAGTTTGTGCAGTAAATGGTACCAGGAATTTATATTTCAAGGTAGGATACTTTTTTTTTTTAAAGGCAACGACTGTTCTTACTGACTGCATCACTGAACTGCTACAAACCTGTATTGGATAAAGTGATTAGAAAACTGATGGACTGATACTACACAGCCTAGAAAAGCCAAATCTGTATTTTTCAGAAACCCCATTTTAAAGGTGTCTTCTTTGACGTTCCTGAGAACTTGATAAAATGCATGCCAGTCCTCCCACTGGTGCACATTCAGAACACTTTTTGACGTCTGATATGTGCTAGGCTGTGTGATTGTAGGATTGGATAGCCAGAATGTTTAAAGGCTCTAATGCAGTAAAAAGAGTTATGTTGTTTAGTTGACATTTGTAACTCACCTTTTAACATTTTTTTTATATTAAACATTTTTAAAGATGTAATTACAGTACATTTACATACTGTATAGACTTCTTAACCCAAAATATTTTTCACAGTATGAAATATAAAAAGACACATGGAATGTTATCAGGGTGGGACTGGTTCTCCTTTTCAATACTGTGAATAAATATTGCATGAAGGTTGTCAAACCAGAATGACAGCTTATATTTCATTTTTACTTGGTTTGCAAAACCTGACTTTTTTTCTTGTGTTTTTGATTATCAGGGATATCCGATGAGAGAGGATAGCTTCATCCAGCGCTATATTACTGACCCTACAGATGGAGCTTTCGAAAAGGACTTTCAGCCTGTACCAGGTGAGTGATGGATGCTGTGTACATTGCATAAACATTGAACGCTTAGTGAATAATTTTCAAAAACAAATATTTTTGATTAATGCGGTACTTCATTCAAATAAGGTACAGTGGGAGGGTGCATTTTATTCCATCATCATTGACCATCTGTGTTTTTTTCGCATTCATTCTGATTTTCTGATTGAAAGTGTATGTGACATCATCATTATTTTGTTTGGCTGACACTTACATTTACATTTAAGCTGCCCATGTACACACTTGAGTATTTTACTGGAGCCTCCCTCAAGGGTCCAACAGCAGTGAAATGAATCAAGATTAGAGTCTCTAATTGAATCCTTCTGTTGTGTCTGACAGAGTATGTGAACCAAAATGGGAACCCAGTGTCCGACGTCATGAACCCCATCTATCAGGACAGTGTTGTTCCCATCTCAGCAGTGACGAGGGCTCAAAATGCAGACTCTCAGTATCTGAATTCCTTCAGCAACACCGCTGACTTCCACGAATACCTCAACACCGTACAGCCGGCTTTGCCCAGGCCCTTGTTTGACAACCCACACTACTGCGACCAAAAAGTCACCCACCAAACCAGCCTGGACAATCCTGATTACCAGCAGGACTTCTTTCCTCCCAAGTCCAAGGTTAATGGGCATCTTCCCGCTGCTGAAAACACTGAGTACTTGGCCTTGTCAGCGCAGGCCGAGGTACACTAGTCGATTCTTTCGTGGATTGAGTGCACCTTCTTGGATATCGCTGTTCCCAGTTTCTCAAACCTCCTGTAAGCCTGGGCTCTGATACAGCAAAACAGTTTCAACAAACGTAGTGGATGGAGTTCAGAGAAGTGCCATTCGCAGCATCAGCTTGATCTCCTTTCCCACCTTCTTACCTGCAAGGATGCTTCTGTCCCCAGTGACGTGATGGCTATGACACTAAGCAAAGCAATTACGATTATTTCCCTTCCTTCAACTTAAAGATCGATCACACATCTTAAAAACATGATCCACCCCACCTTCCGTGAACAGAATGAAAAATGTTTCTACTTTTTCTCTAAGCCATAAATTGAAAATTGAAAATACACAGGGTGAATATGAGCATTAACATGTTGGTTAGCAAGTGACTAGGTGCTTGATTTTAATTCTTAGCTAAGATACAAACAACAGTATCTCTGTTTTTTTTTTGGAGAAATAGGCTTTCAGCCTCATAAATGGACTGATTGTGATTCTGCAGAAGTGTGGCCTCCATTAAGAGAGACCAAGCAACACAAAGGAGGAGTTTTTTTGTTTTTTCATTCATTATGTTTTGACTTAAAAAGCCATATTAGACATTCCCTTGGATCAGAAGAGTGTTTTTAAAGTGTTTATCCATGAAAAATACTGTATATTGTGTGGCGTTCATGGATTCCAAGATCATTCTTAATGGGTATGTTAATTGAATGTCTCCAACTGATGTCCCAAATCACATACAGGATCATTTGTTTGTGCTGTTTGACCCAGAGACCAAAGCTGTCCAAAAAGTGCAATGTTGGGTTTCCAGTTGGGTTGCTATAATAATTCACTGGGATCTGGTGTGTCCACAGGTTGTTTTGGGAAGAACTTAGGACCAGATCTTCATTTCCACACAGTATTTGGTGTTTTTATTAATTGGTTGGATGAAAAAGGACTAAATCAGAGTAGTGGCTAAGTAAGGCTGAAGTCTAATATTTCCTGTGCTGTCAACAGATGTAGTTCCAATTTTATGTGTATTTATTCATCAAAAAGGTGTAAACATTTTTGCTTTTTGTTATTTAACCACATCGTTTTCAAAGAGCTCTGAAATTCTTTTGGGTACAACTAACGTTGTGAATGAGGTCGTTTTATCATGTTTTAAAGAAATACATATACAGTACACCATACTTCATAAATTTGATTGTGAAAACTGTTTGGGTACAGACATTGAACAACAGAAAACTAAAGTTCTTTTAAGATTTACAGAAAAGATTTCTGGAAAGAGCAAGAAGAAAGCAGTATTCTTTTATATGTTTTTTAATTTTTGCGAAAGGTCAAATATATTTGCCTTTCAAAACATTTGTATGGAAGAACTGCAAAGGTGATTTCATGCAATGAGGAGAATTTAAAAGTTAATAGTTAAACATTTGAGTGCCAACACTGCAGTTAAACATTTCTGCTTTACCATAAATATTTTTTTTCCATTTTATTCAAAAACAATGTAGCATATTGTCCTTCTTATTATCATTTATTGAGTTTCTTGCTTTTGGCAGTTAGGCAGCTTAGATATGACAGTGAAACAGAAACAATTCAGGACAAGAGGGGAAGTCTCTAAGGAAGGAGTAGGCAGCTGCTAAAGTCTGAAATTGGCAGCTTACTGTAGAATGAGAAAACGGATCCTGTTTTCACTAAAGCAAAGAACAGATATGGTAGTGTCTTGTGCTTTTAGTGTCTATGTGAGATTTCTGCTTTAAATGGATTTCTTATAAGGTGGTTGTGTTTAAATGTATTTGTAAAAGGAGATGTAGTTTGTTATAAATAACATAACATTACTAGAAGTAATCGTGAAAAAGATGAGATACATAAATATTTGAATGTAAAATGGAAATCTGAACAGTTCTGTTCACCTACAGAAGATTTCCTGTGAAAGAAAATTCTCACATTCTTATGTTTCGCATTTCAGCTCACTACAATTAATGACTTGATTACGTGATTTATGGATATCTGTTACGTTGAAAAAAATGTAATATACCGACTACTACAGACTACTACAGTGTACGCTTATGAAATGAGCTAGAATGTTTTGTTAGATTTTGGACAAAGCCTCTATGGACACTTGACAAACTCACAATTAAAAACTGGTCTTTGAGGAGTTGGTATTATGATGTTGTATCCCAACTGTCTAGTACCTAACAATGTGGTAAAAATGATCAATCGTCTTGCAGAGTCTACGAAAAAGGTCTTCAACTGTCATATCCTTTTCATTTAAGGTATTGCCTGTCCACTTGTCACCTGGCGTGTTTTATTTCTAAGTTGTTTTTAATTTCAAGATTGCAAAAGGGCTGACTTTTACATTTCAGAGAATAACATAGGAAGACACATCAGGGTTCTTCCAAAGAAAACTAGTCTCTCACATACAGTAGATCTGTGTTTCTGGATAACTAAACTGACATAACCAGTAATATGTTAACTGATGAAATAACCTTTTCTAGCTGCGCCCTGCTGGTCAAATTCAGACTGGTTAATGAGAGAGAAGCTCTAACTGACATTTGGTCTTTTGACTTCTCAAGTGACCTATTTCTACCTTGCTAAATAAAGCTGTATTGTCAGGCCTTGGAAAGTGAATAGCACTCTCACAGTTTCAATGCACTTGCAACAAGCTTTTCAGTACTTCACATTACATACTTTCTTTGATCTTCTCATTACTTTAACATGAGGTATTCAGAAACATGAAGACTGGAATCAGGACAGCTCTTGGCTGTGGACCCTGGGAAGACATTGTCCAAAAAATAAGTTTTAAGTCTTAATTTTCAATTTAATGTTTTCCAGTGTTGGTTTGGAAACTGTAGGGATCATGGTTTAGAAATTGCTGTTGTATCTCAGCTAGTTCTGATGCTGAGGATTTTTTACGTTGCTGTCCCTCAGCATTTGACACGACAGACATATACTAAGGCTGGAATGCAGAAAAAAACTATGCTGTAGCCACAAGATACTTTTACCATTGGGATCTCCTGTCATACAAACTCAGGACTACCCAAAAGAGAGATTTAAAAATTTCACAACATAAACCTTGTTGTTGTCTTTGAGTTCAGGTACAGTAAAGGGTCCACTAGAGTTATTCTGTAACTTTAAAAGTGATATTTTTTTAGAGATTTGAACTCTAACTAACTTGAACTTTTTGATTCTGTTTATTTTTTGCTGTTTCTGTTATGCAATAGATAGAAACCAAGGTATTAATGTACCTCCTTTTATCAATCGGTAGTAAAGAAAATATTCCTTTGTAATAAGCCAAAGACTTTGTGGATAGCAATCATTAAATCCTTAGGAATAGTGCCGTTGTTTTCATGTTTGTTCTTAAAGGGATGCACAGCTGTCCTGGCTGTCTGGATTTCATTTGAAATTCTGTATTTATGGCATCCTCTCACGTGTATGTACTTAAGTGAGCTTTCAGTTCAGGTTGCCTGATGTTTAGCTTACAGTGTATTGAATGTAAACTGCCATATGTCAGCAAAATCTATTCAAAGTGTTTTATTCTAAGTATTTGTCTTTACTATATATAACACCACACCATTTGCAATCAGATACAGAAGTACACATTAAACGCATTTATCCCTCTAGCTTTGGAAGTCATTAGAAAGAATAGTCTTTTATTTTCTAAGTATTTTCATATATATTTTCATTGATACCTAAAGGATAATTTTTTAAGAATTATCCTTTAGGTATCAATGCGACAGCTAATGTATAACTGTGAAGGCTTTACAGAACTTGTTTAATTGTGATACATACAGTACAACCGACAACCTAGCACAACATTGTAAAAGGCGCATTTTTCCTCAAGGTTTCTTTGTGTTTTATGTCAAGGATGTGTTTTCAGTGCTTTTTAAAATTCAGCATAAATCTTTGATACTTCAAGTCAAATACTGAAAAATACTAAAACATTGCATTACTAAACTAGTGGCTGTCAAGTTAATTTGCCTTAGCTATTTTCAGCCTTGCCAAACAGTTTCATTGCATTTCCTGAGCAGTGGCTTTTTCCAAGTTTTTTCTTCACTTTGCTGTTCGGTACCTTTTTATCTGTGCTTAATAGTATTTTAGATAAAGACTTTAAACAAAACAGACTGGACTCTAGCTTAATAGACTTTCACTGCACCAGGTAAAGGACCATGTGGAATAATTTAGATTAGCCTTGGTATAGACATGTACAGTTCTATTTTAATTGGCTAGGAGAAGTAATTAGTAAAAAGGTTTTGTTCCTGAGGTCATGAATGAGTTGACTCTGTATTCATACTTTATGACTCTAGAGTAGCATGATATCAAACTATAATTATAGGGTAATCTTACGTACAGAAGAATAATGGCACTTACTGTAACTATTGAACTAGCACGTTTTGTTCTCTATGAGACTTGCAAGTTCTTCAGTAGAAAATTAGTGTTACCTTTGAATTCACAAGTGCACCAAATCCTCTTCTAAGAGAAAACAATTATGTCATATTTTGGTCTTAATAGTACCCTCAAGTTTAGGCAAAGCTTTCCAAAATCAGCTGTAACAAATAACCCTAGAATGCCAAGGGCTGGAAATGGATTATTTTCCAAATAAGCCCACACACTATCTTTCCCTTACATTTAATTTCTAGTTTGTAAAGAAGAGATTTGCTCACTGAGTCTTAAAATGTTTAACTTAATCTTTACAGCGCATTTGTTTTGTCACATATTCCCTTTGTTGCTGTTTGCTTTCTGTAATTAACTGAAAAACAAAACAGCAATGTCAGGTCACAGAAAGTCTCCTTTGTACAAAGTTGAGATTCAGTGCTGAAAGGTGCTTCCATATTTGTGAGATGTGTCCACACAAACACATGATATCCAATACATGTGCTATGCACACATGTACTGAGCATCAAAAGACTTTTCTCACTACTGTATGTGTCCATGAATGTCCTTAGAATAATAAAAAATGTGATTTTTTCTTTATAAGAATATAATGTTATTGTGTTTAATTTAACATTCATCGCCAACTATGATAAGTTGGAGTGATTTTGACTGCTGCATAGGTGATAAATCAGCTCAGTGAGACAATTGCCTTGTAAAAGGATAGGAGGTGTTTAAACCTGTTGACTGTGAAACCTAGGGGAAATCAAGAAGGAAAATCATGTAAAGGAACCAACATGCCATCAAGAGGACACTGACACATGAAAAGAGCAGCACCTATAGGTGCACTTACCAGCAGTGGAGTCAAGTCCTCTTCAGTGATGAGACAAGATTTTGTGTAAACCACCACCACAAATGCCAGTGAGTTTGTTGAAAACATGCAGCATGATACACGGATCAATGGAAGGGGAGGTTCAAATGTGATGGTCTGTGCGGGAGTGTCTAGTCTCTACAGAACTCTGCTTATATGAAATGGCGGTAACGTGACTGCATGGCACTCGACCGACCAAATCCTACTCATTCCAGCAGCATAAAGCATGTCTTCATGCTGCTTGTCTCACAAAAGCTTAAGAATGTGAGCGTAGTGTGCCCTGGATGCCTTACTTTCAAGACTTGAGCATCTTTGAACATTTATGAGATAAGTTTGGAAGAAGAGCGGTGTCTGTGGCTCAGTGTCCAGTAAACTGGTACATGCTTGTCCAGAATCTACAAGACAAATGGCACAAAATCCCACGAGACAACAATAGCAACCTGACGCAAAGCAAGAATATCAGGTGTACAGCTTATATTACTTCCAATGATGGCCAAATATGCTGAGGTGTATTTGTCTCCCCGCTAATAAAAAATTTACATACAACAGCATCATGAATTTACTTATGTAATGCACATTAAATAAAATATAAGAACACACAAAAACTACAGTAGTAAAACTACAGTACAGTACCAACTGGTGAATGTGGTTTAGTTATTTGTTTTTTATTAGTGTTTTCTTTTTGATGCTCAGTACATAAAATGCTTAATACAATTCTATTTCTAAAGCCAGTCCTTCTGATATACTCAATTTGTTATCTTCAAGGTTGACCTTTTAAATGCTCACATGGAAAGCACAAAGCTTATGTAACCTTATGTCATTTTCTAGCTCCACTTTGAAACATTGCGCAGTTTGATGGTTTAATTAAGTAATCATGCACAAAGAATGATCTGTGTGGATATGTACATGTTACAGTTATACAGTAGGCTGGGAACTCACAATCTCTTGTTCTACAATGTAGAACTCCTTTTCTCAAATTGTTCTAGTTCTGTACTACACTGGGTCAGAAAATTATGACCAGATTTTTCTATAGAAAAATGGATGCTATAGTACAGATTTTATAATTGTTCAAAATGTATTTGGTCACAAATTGTAAGTTTAGGCAAAAGTGGTACAGTATGCAGGCAGAATTTATGTTAATACAGAGGATTTGGTGTACTTAAAATCCTGTCTTTAATTATATCACACAAATTAAATGTTCCATCAAGATACATTTCCTCTCTTTGTCCAGACTTCATGAAGATGAAGTGTAAACATTAATTTCTTACTTTAGAATTTTAACACAAAATAATAATTTCAGTTGGACTCAGGAATAATGCCTTTTAATGAGCATGTAGAGTACTTTTAGTATGTAGATGGTTATAGTTTTTCAGAGATGAAATGCTGAAGCACTATTTGTACATAGTTTATAATGGTTTTTAAAACTGTTTATAGATCTTATATGAGAATGTTTGTATATGGAGTCTGAAATGAAAAGAGGAAACTATATATTGCTGATGTAAACACTGATGTTTGAAATTTTATTGTTACCTGTCCCATATGTGAAGATTATATGAATGTCTATGAGAAGATTTTAAGAAAATGTCACAAAAGAAACGGTACTGATATTGAAAGTTCCTGAGCCATTCACAGCTGGCTCAGTACAGTTCATGGTTTTAAAATGTGTTTGTGAAAGTAAACCTGTAGCAATAAGTCAGCACCTTTTCTCAACTTCCTTCTACCAGTGCAGTGTTTTTGTATTGACATACAATATGCTGCACTTATTGTCAATTGTGATTTTTGTGAATAAACACTAGTACCATGCTTGAAATGAAACAAGTTATGTGTTTTTGCTACTTTGTTCAGGAAATATTGTAATTCTGCATGCTGTGTTAAAATTAAATAAAATACTATAAAATGTTTGCTTTCTGTCCTCATTGTTGTAATTGCTCAATGTGATATTTGGTTACATGTGAAATAATGGCTAAAACTGTCATTTTTCCAGTCGATTCACAAATCCTCCAGCAGCCAGCCCTGCCATCAGGTCAATATCAGCCACACCAGTCCAATCACGGATTCCCCACCCCCCAATTCTGTCATCACACCCACCAGTCTCCTTCCAGATTGTAAATCCAGTCTGCTTTTGGTCTCTCCGAGGACTGAAGGTTCGTCTTCCAATAGACTTCACTGCTCTACCCAAGAATCCCCAGGTTGAAACTCCCATTGGCCCTTCGGTGACGAGCTCAGCCTTTTACCACCCATGTATTCCAGAATAATTCTTCCACATCTAAATCCCATTCCCCCAAAATCACAGACTGGAATGCGGGTTGATTGCAAGGAACTTCAAAGGAATGAGGAGGCACATTTTCCTATTCCAATTCAACGCAACAACCCTTTTCTTCCTTTTTCTTTCTCCCCTTCTTGAAGAACACCCAGCTGGCAGGCTCTGCTACAGTATGTTGCCCTTGTGAGGTCCCTATTCCAATTACCACCCTTGGACAACTCACCAATCTGCCCACCAGGACACCTGTTCCTTCTCTTCCTGTATCATTTCCTTTTGACCCTCCTGCAGTCTCATATTCTTTGCTCTTTCTTTTTCTCTTCGTCTATGTCGGGCATCTTAACCACCATGCCTGCATTTCCTTCCCCTTACCTCTTGTTTCTACTATTATTATTGTTATGACGTATAGCTTGTTTTTTTTTTCTCAAGTGCCTTTGCATCATCAGGTATCCTTTTTGCAGCCCAAGCCGCAGCAGCCACTGGTTCCACTTGATGGCCAAAATAGTAAAAGCTGAACCTCTAACCTCCTCTCCCATCTTCCTATCCGGGTTTCTCCCTGGTTCCCAATGATTCCAACCTACTGTATAGCCCCAGCTGCCTGCATCCCTCTGCCAGCTGTTCATTTGCCTGGATCTCACTTAGCATTATCTAACACATCTTTTATTCCCTCTTTCTCCAAAGACTGTGTTCTCACCACAGCCATGTTCCTTTCTTTTCATTGAAATGTCCCCATCATCGTTACACTTCTTGCGCCTCTCTTTTGCCATCAGATAATCCATAGTGCAGACATTTTTCTATCACCTTAAATGCTTTTGATGTCTGCTCTTACTAAAACCCAAATCTTATCATGTCCTGTGGTCCTTCATTCCCAAGAATTGATGGAAATGGCTTTACTGTACAGCCTTAATCTTTGATTTTGCCATTTACTTTGGTGGATGCATGTTTTATTAATACCATACATTGTCCTCTGCTCAGGGTGCTGCATGCTTCAAGCAGTGGAACTAACAAATTTACTGTGGAGTACTTAACACCAAACTCCAGTCTCTTGTTTGCTGTTTGTGAATCATCACTCTCATCACCTGTGTCTCATACTTTCACAGCTTCCTGCAATAACTTTTATTTTCTTTCAGAATGCTCTATGTCTTCTCTTGGTGATCTCCCCCAATATGCTCCCCAGTCTCTTTCTCAAAGGACCAAGATGCCTGAGTACACCCCATCATTTTTGCAGGAAGACTACAAATGTACTGTAATAATTTTAATTCACCTGGATAGAAATATTCACCCTGTCATTTCCTCTTCTTCTTCTTCTTCTTCTTCTTCTTCTTCTTCTTCTTCTTCTTCTTCTTCTTATTATTATTATTATTATTATTATTATTATTATTATTATTATTATTATTATCAATCACTAATATCGTAACCGGCCAACTCATTTGATCCTTTATTCTTTCGCAGAATATAACAGTTAATCGCAAATCTGTAGGTTCCTGCACCATCACTGAGATGTTCAAAGTAAAGCAAGATTCAGTGCTATCTGGTTATTTCACATCAATGTAGGCTACTACAGTCCTCAACAAGGAATTACAGACAACATGGTCTAATTCCTTGGACACCAGATTTCCAATGCCTATAAAGTTAATATCAGATCAAATCCAAAGCCTAAGGTAGGCTCATATTAAACTTTGCAATCAGGATATTGGCTCCTATTTGCCTCATGGCAGGGTTTCCAGTAACCTTGTCTTCACTGTCAGGTTGTTGTTCCACCCGGATACAAGCTGGTAGGGCCAATAAATCAACTCAGTCCAATTAATCCTTTAGTTTGTCTTAATTACAGACTGAAATAGAAGAGTGATATACTGAAGTTCTACTGACATCAACATTGTAACAACATGTAACTTTAAAAGTCCTTAATTGAAATATATGACCTTTACTTTCCCTTCTCTGTTCATGGTTTTAGATGTTCAGTATAAACTGCAATGACAGAAACATCACCCAAGCTGTCAGAAACATTTACTTCTCCATTTCACTGAGGCCCTTTTGTACTCATCTGAAGCTCCTCCATAGTGACTTTATTGGTATGTCTGTCATTGCTCCACCAAACATCCCTGGTTCAAAAAGACCCCTTGCCAAGGCCGTTCACAGTAGTTTCTCACATTTTTTAAACATCATGTTTTACTCTTACTGATTATAAAATAATTGAATTTCATTCTCATGTTCTTGAGATCAGCTTACTGGATCTGTTGCTCAATTGTGCTAACACATTATTTCACCTTTTCCACATTTTTCCACATCTTCCGCCACTCTTGAGTGGCTTCTCTCCAGGTTCTGTATAACTGTGGAGACTGTTGAACTGTAGAAGGTAATATTATGTTTTAGTGTGAGAAAAAAAAACTATTTTCAGCTAAATTAAGTCTTGTGAGAGGATGTGGGTGATGTGGTCAGAGATTACAGCCACAAAAATCAGATCATGTTAGACAGTCTTTTTTTTCTTTGGAGAGAGTGAAAAATCAAGATATTTACTTTCTCACTATGCACATTTCAACTTCTAAGAGTTGCTGAGATGCAGAGAAAAATGAACATTACCAAATTAAAATGAATAAAAGATTTGAATACAAAGAAATAAAACAAAATGTATTATTATGACAGAATTATCACAACAAATAACTGTTATACTATAATTAAAAATGAAGTGAATTAGTGAATTGAAAATATTTATTGAATTGTTTTAATTATAGTCAACAATAGGGCAAGCTATTATCGGTGTGAGAGCTGGAGTGACAGGACCTAAGTCTTCATGGACACTGTTTTGACAGGAGACCTGAATCACATGGAGACTTCAGGTGGTTCAGGCATTCTGCTTTGTTTCAACCTCATTTCTGAAACATCACTCGGCTTGGTATCAACATGGTATTTATCTTGGCTTGGACCCTGGCTTGCTTCAACCTTGTTCCATCTGATTTCCCCGTTGTGCTTTGACCTTGGTTTTAGATTCAACAGCTTTGACTGCCTGCCCGACCAAGAACTTGAGCAGTGCTGCTTCCTTGAGTCCCTACCCTGCTGTGGAAGCCCCTCTACCTGCATTTAACACCGTTCAGTTCCCCTGCCAGCGCACTGCCCACAGTTCCCCTGGGGTATCATTCTCCTTTTGACCAGGAAGTGGGTTCATCTTATGATTCACAATCTACTCCTAGTCTCACCAAGCAATGGGATCGTTTTAGTATAACAGACCCCTGAGCAATGCCAGAGCAGCTCTTAAGAATTCCTGAAGGACCTGAAGTGGAGCGGTAGTAAATTGTCTCCAGGTGATTCAGGTCTCCTGTCAAAATGGTGTCCATGGCAAAAAGGTGGGTGGAGCAGTGGCTGGCTGCCCAAGCTAATTCTAACTCATACTTCAGTGCAGCAGCTGGGGTGAGTACGACACCATATGACTGAAACATGTAAAGAACATACTTTAAAAAAACATGCCTGTCTGTTACCTATATCTTACTAGACTTTTTATAGGCAAAATTATTATCTTCAGTATGAATGCATATCACTGTAATTGCATTTAACTGTTAACTATTTAAGGATGAAATTCTTGAAATTGTTGCAGGGAGTTGGCAGTTATAACACCAAATCCATCCCAATCCCCAACACAAAAGTGATTGCTTTGTCATTGTTTGAGTCAGAATAAGTTAGACTTTGGGACTTACAGAAGATTGAATCAAAAACCAATGAAGAAGGAAAATGAACTTCAGGAGAGGAACATTTACGTGTAAAATCTGACCTTTTACTTTTTGTTTTGGTTTTTAAGTAAACAATAATATGTTTCACTGCAGATTGCCAGTGTCTAAAAAGTAAATAAAATAACAATTTTATGGAAAATGACATCAAATTTTATTAGGAAAAAAACAACCTTATAATGTTTTGTTAAGAATGTCCAAAAGACCACAGTGATGAGCGCTTTGCAAAGCTTGGGCTACAAAAGAAATCTTCTAGCCAATCTCCATGGGTGGTTATACTAACATTAAGAGTGTTTTTGAAGTGCAGATGTACTGGAGCCCGGCTCAAGCCTCTTCATGGCTTGTTTGGCTGTAGAATGGCATGATGTGTTCTTTTTTGTGCACCTCTTATATACAACAATATATTTTTACTGTCAAGTTGCCTAGAATGTTTAACAACCTGTGTTCCAGTAAAAATGTCCTGTTTACACTTGTTGTAGAGTTGCTTCCTGCTGAAAAATGTATAAGAAACAGAAAAAATCCTCTCTTCTCTCCCCCTCATACAGATGTGCATTTTCAAATATCTACTATTGAGCCTTACAAGTGAACTGTACCTGTCTTTTTGCTACAATGATGCTTTTCTGTCTGTTAAAGGATGAGATCTAAATATAACTTATTTTCCATTTTATTTTAATTAGATAACAGCCCAGGTAGCTGAGGTCAGAATCTATTTCAAAATGAATAGCTTACTGTATATGAAGCTCTATTGTATTAATATATAAGCTGAGGAACTGTGCAGTTTCATTAAAGTATTTCTGTGGCCCAGTGGGGCCACGAAGAAAAGTTGCATTTTTGGTAGTCTAAATTTTGTGTTCTTGTGTTTTTATCCTGTGTTTATCCAAAGACATGCTAGTAGGTTAATTGGGTACTGGGAAAATGGGCC